TATTGGCGTTTATAAAGTGTTAGGAGGATATTGGTCATAACCAATAATCGGAAGCTGCCCGATGTCTGTCCAAATATTGTTCCTATCTCCTTAAATGAGTATTAATAACCCGAAGGAGACACAGACAAACGTGTACCTTAGTTACTAGTGAGATATCATATAATGAAGTTAAACTATTAATTTATGTAAACGAGTTATATTTTAGATGTTCATTAAATATAAGTTATATGTAATATACCATATGTCTGACATGAATTCTAGTACAGTTGGTTAGTAGGTATATCCAAGTTAGACGGAGTTGGTTTGCTATGATCACAATTGGCGATAGACGAGTCGTCGAATAAAATAAGTTAAGTTATTAACAATAAAAGTAAGACAAAAGTGATGAAATCAAAAACTGTATCAAATAATAGCCTCTCAAACACAACTGCTCTTTGTTAGTTCGACGTCAGTAGCTCCGAGGTACAGAAGAGTATAATTGTCACATCAGCATCACCCTCTATGTTAATTAATATGTATTACGAATTAAGTAATTGAAAATACAACGTGTATAGTATAAATGGTAAGAATATAGCAATAAATGTTTTTGCAAAAGCAATTAGGTGACAAATATTATTTAGAGTGTCCGCAGATATTTGTCGAAGGTTGAAAATTGTTTTTTCTATTCGGTATGTGGATTTACTATTTTATTATATACGGCTGGCAATGATCTGGAAATGAAAGGGATGTCTGGTAAGTGTGAAGTTTAGGGGAGGATTTCTAGACCAAATCTCCCCTAAAAAGTAAATTTTGCGACCAATATTTTTTCTTAACTCCACCTTTAGTGACCAGGGCACTTGTATAGATCATCACACTTATTTCAGGAACCTCTTGCACAAAGTGATTTAGTAGTTAGTTGATTAGGTTTAATTTGTTATGTGCCTCGCAAATTATAACGTTAGTTCTGAAATTAATAATCAGATATTAATGATTAATGATATGTTTTCTTTGATAAAAATTAATTTTAAAAATTATGTAAAAAATTAGTTCAAAGGAAATTATACATTCGGTAATATTGACTTATGTTTTTAAATTCTACATATAATAAATCTATAAGAGTAACGTTCAAAACTCTGCCTTTCACAATCAAATTTAATTAAAGTAAAAAAATGTTATTTTTCATACAAAATTATTAAGAAAATTGATCAAATAAATCGTCAAGGGGAAGCTTCTTTACTCCTTGCGGACGCCCATGAATATTATGGATGATTTTATCAGTTTTTTTTATATATTTTGTTAGTTTAAAGTATTTGTGTAGAAATTAAACTATAAAGGTTAAATTTACTTCCTTAAAAAAATTTAGGGCATCATTTAAGAGAATCATTATTGTTAAAAAAATAAAATAATAATTAGCTCAAATATTTTCAAAGATTTTTAGTGAAGCGTACCTAAGTAATGGCTCTGTATATGTGACCAATTTTTAACCTAGAGGGCGTTAAGTATTAGACTTACTTATTTTCTACAGTACTTGATTTCATATATTATATAAATGAACAGCTAACCACTGTGGATTTATATCTAGTTTTTTTGCCAATCAGTGGATTGATTTTTATATATACAAAGTCAGTGTCGGTGTAAAGAGTGTGCAACCACACTGGGTCTCGCCCTTTAAATATTTTATATAGTTACGGGCCATGCAAATCGTAGTGCCGACACTGTACAAAGTCAACCAGAATTTTTCTGAACATTTTCAAACATAATGCGCCTATGAAAACATAATGTATTTGTTAAATATTTCAAAAATCTGTATCTTACGTCTTTCTCGAATATGTAGTTGAAATATTATGTTTAAAAAGGATTTTAACTGTTTTATGCTCATTCAACACACCGTCCTATAAAAAAAAGTATTTATATTTAACTTAAATACGTTTATAAGCGTAAATAGTGTTTTAAATTTCGGAATGCTTAATTTCCAAAGACCAAATAAATATACTGTCCCCATAAATTTGCACACTCACAATATTAAAAGATAAGATTTGAAAAAAAAAAACCAGTAATTATTTATACAATAATATAAGAAATTATTTTATTTTTCCTTACATAATTAAAAAAAAAGAAGTGAAATCTGCTTGTAGGTGTTAAGTAGATGGAGAATCTATTTATTTGCAACAACGATTACACTAGCTATAGATACATGTCTCTAAATTAGGTGATTTGAAGTTGAATTTTTAAATTAAAAAATAATGTAGGTACTAAAAATCAATTTATCTTTAACTGTTGTTTTTAAAAATTAATATTCATTGCTTTCGATTTTTATGTCAGAATAAATATTATAGTAAATGTAATCTATTTGCGCATGATTATTTATTTATTTTAATAAGTGAAATTTATGGTTAAAGTTATGTTATTGCAATAAGATTATGACAGACAAAATTAAAACACTGATCTTTTTCCCCATTCACTTTAGTTATTACGTGTTTTTATTAAAAAAAGTCGGCCTACATTTTGATGCGTTGGGTTCGAGTCTTAAGCCTTTATTCCATTAACACGATGAATGATAGGATAACGGACAACGGATGAAACCTTTGAGCCTGGTTTGTATTTATCAGTGTATCTACCCTTATCATTGGGGTGACGGATTTTATTATTTTTGCTTTCTAGAGATCTGAGGTCAATGTTTGAGTTAGAATAAGATGTTGATAACATGAGAAAAGTGTATGTGTTTGCTTTCTTACGTAACTTTTTTTTTACATTTTTTAATTAAAAAAATACACTATTAATTAATAATGTAATTGGTAAAGTACTTGGTAAATCAATTTGAATCTTTTAGGTTAACGTTGTTTTTGCCATACATCATTCACGAGGACAATTAACATTGACAAAGCAGTGTATTGAGTTAGAATTCTAAAATATTAATTTTATATTTAATTCATTTGGTGTAAGCAAAATTCAATAAATCATTTGAATTCATATGAATTATGATGATATTTTCAATATTTAAGAGATGTTAATATATAAATATTTAAGAGTATTTTAAAGATACCCTTCCTTATTGTAATAGCTCGACTCAATATAATTTCAATATACACATCTCATTATTAAAATTAAATTTGATTTATCGTTTTAATTTCATAAGGGCGATAACCTATTGTACTTGGGATAGGTTTTAGAATTTGTGTTTAATGCATAATTAAATTAATGATTATATAAATATGGTTATTATTGTTAGATTTGATGATAATTTTTTAACCGATGACAACAATTTTAAGATTTAAGTTGAATCAAGCAAAATTCGAATTATTAACATTGATATTTTATCACACGTGACATTATTTACGTAACAATTAGTCAACATATATTTTGTTTAGAAGAACTTGAAAATGTATAAGATAATATTTAACTGTATTATCAGTACTTTTACGTGGCCTTTTGCCGAGGGAAGAGGGATTAAGGAGAAAATGATCCCCAGAAAAAATTACTTACAACACCTATCCACATATTGTCTAAATCAGTGATGCCGGATTTATCCTCATGCATTAAAGGTTATAAGTCTAAATCATTACAAATTATAATATAATGATAACAATGATGTACAATAATTGACTTAACTAATAGAATAAAAACAAAAACATATAAAAATTACTAAATTAACAATTACAAATATAATATTACATTTTATAACATTAATATTCTAATAGAATACAATAACAAAAAAATATGTTTTACATAAAGATTGAAAACATCCGGTTTTAAGAGAAGTATTAAAAAGATAGGTGATATATACCTTTTAAAAATGGTTCAACATGAAAATTTCTTGCGGATATATATTAGGGAGAGAGTAGTTTCCTCTAATGTACTTCATAGTAAATTTAGTCATAGTGTGGGCTGCTCAAAATTATTAATGGACCGTGTAATGTATTTTGCTGATTTAAATCATCTTCAATAGTAAAATTCAGCTGAACATGTTTATTTCGGGCAGAGTATAGACAAATTATTTACATCAATACTATATTAGTTGCGTATGTCTTAGTATCGATAAAATTATTATTTAAACTAAAAATAAATTAGTGTCAAGGAATAAATGGTAAAAATAAATAAGGTTTTAATTAAATATGTTAACATATGCATTTTTAACTTTCGAAAGTAATAAATATTTTTTAAAAATATCTTGCTATGTAAATAAATAAAATAATTAATTCAGTCCATAGATAGTTCGATTTATTTAATTTTGAATTTTTGACAATAGGAATAATAGTTAAATATAATGACTGTTATTGTAGTTAAATATTATTTACATGAACTACTTCAACAAACTAAATTAAACCAACTATTTCAACTCGTGGCTAGCAAAAGAGTCGCTAATTGCTGCTTAATCAATTAGTAATATTATATGATTCAGTTTTTGGTAGTATTAGATAAGTTCACACGCTAACGGCAAAAATTGAGGTTTTTCAGTTTACAAGATAATATATTTTATGATTAATTCAAAATAGATTTTTTACNAAATTGAGGTTTTTCAGTTTACAAGATAATATATTTTATGATTAATTTAAAATAGATTTTTTACTTTAAATGTTTGATCTGTAGTCATTATTTTATATATGTCACGAATACATATTATTATTGAATACTCGATAATATGTACGTAACATGTAAGTTGTGTAAGTTATCAATTTTCTAAATATTTTTTATAAATACTTGTTTTGAACTACATCTCATTTATATTACCGTAGTATTATAGTTTATGATGTCGGTTTTCATACGTGTTTTTTGTAATCGTACATGAGATGTTTTACAATTTTCAAAGTAAGATATTAGTTACTATGAGGTGATTAATGTGTCACCAATTCATGTTACAATTTTGACCCATCTAGTTTTTCGTGATTACAGATATATAATAAAACTTANTAATTTTCAAAGTAAGATATTAGTTACTATGAGGTGATTAATGTGTCACCAATTCATGTTACAATTTTGACCCATCTAGTTTTCGTGATTACAGATATATAATAAAACTTATATTACATATCTGTGTTTGTTACTGACTCAATATTGTCAATGTATTCATTATTTTTATTGATTTTACTTTTAATTTTCTCATTATTTTCATCCTTATCGTTTTTATAGGCTTTTTCTTCCTTTTCTGTTTTTTGGTTTGCTTCATCACCTTTATTTTTTTCATCGTGCAGCTTTATTCCATCACTAGGGGTTCTTTTTTTATTATAATAATTTTCGTCCTTATCTTTTTCATTGTTTTTCATGTTGTCAAATAGATTGGGCGAATTAGTCGGTTCTTTTGTTGTAAAAATGCCAGTAATTTCTGGTTCATCATAAACTGAATATGAACCTCGCTGGTCAGGTTTTGAAAAATCTACTAAAGCCCATTTTTTTGTAGGATTAGCAAGATATAAGGCTGGTGGTGGGAAGCTTAATGTTGAGAGTAAATGAATACTTTCTTCGGTAATTTTATTTTGTACAACTGACAGTTGTGTTATATTAAAATTATCATTTATGAACACTGGTTTGCACCAAACACACCAAGTCATTGTAAGTAAATTAATTTCCTGGAAAACAAAATTATCAATGTAATATTCATTACTATGTAAGTATTATATTAGGTCAAGTATGGGATCGTGGTAAACCAAAAAATTGTAATAAATAAACAAATGAATCATTTTTTTTATGCATAATCAGTATTACTAATTACACGATTCTTTACACAAACATTTAGGTACTAAATTTTGAAGTCTGTTGAATGTTACATTGATTAAATTTTATACAAAATACTTATGTTTAACTTGAAAATTTATTTATTTAATATATATTTGACACTGTCGTCACTCATAAAAAGTTCAAGTTATTTCATATTACTAATGTGCCGCGAATGATTATAATAATTTCGTTAAATAACTATAGTTAAAAAATTACTGAATAGAACTTATATGAGTGCAAATAATTTTTTAATAAATACTTTAAGAATTGTATAACAGATGAGAAGTGGCCGCCCCACTTTTGTATCCTTTGGGATACAAAGGAATTGTATTTTGTATTTCTAATGTTTTTCATTAATACTTTTCAGCTTTGGTATACATTTATGTTTTATTTACTTTAATGTAATATATTGACGTCTTGAAAAATAATAATACAAATTTTTCATAGTAATGAAACTTTTCGGTATCACAGCAAAATAATTTCTGATATAAAATAAAACTGTTTAAAAAGCATGTGTGACAGTACTTACTATAAAAATCGATTGTCTAACCATCGCTAATGTGCTGTTTTTAGATTGCAATAATGAAACGATAGTAGGCCTATTTAATAAGTACTTTGCAAGATTGTCGAATTCTTCGATTTATTAGCACTACTAATTACACTGAGTTATTAGTTATGACTGAGTTAACTGCGTACTTGAAAATGTGATGTAGAAATAAAGAGTACATTAAACCTACACATAAAATTTACGATTTTTATGAAATCAAGTTATGCCACTCATTATTGGGTAGGTGTGTACAATCTTTGTTCCGGTTTTAAATTTTATGTTTTCAACTACTTTTTAATCAAATTTCTCCCGCATTTTCTTTTAGGTTGGATTTAATGTTAATGTTATAGATTATCCATTTGTTTATCTTTACCAAGCAATTAATTTATTTGTGCCAACTATTTCACTAATTAAAAATAAATTACTCATAGATATCACCTATACTTAAAATAATTTTACTGATTATTAAAAAAAATACATTTTTACTTTATCTTAATTAAATTATCAGGAACAAAAGCACAAATCGAAATTTACAATTTGTTACCATCATAATATGACTTTCAGTAGGTAATTTAAAATCTTAAAGGAATTAGGTCAAGATTTGCTTCTTAACGCTAAATCGTTCATGCACATCTTAAGTAAAAGAGGAATTCAAAAAGAAAAGTTAGCCACTTATAGATTATGATGTTAAGTCTATGAAACTTGTTTCCATTTGCTTACCAAGCGACCCGTCAAAACTAAGGGATAAGAAGATTAAATATTTGATTTTATAATACTGCTATTTGTTAAATAGCATAGGTAGGAAGAGTAGTTACAAGTTACTTGTATTCAACAATAGTTAAATTAATTCGACTTAACTATGATTTATTCGAAGAAGTATTTTATTATTAAAAAATGTTTACTTTTAATAAATAAATTTGTTTATAATTAAGCAACACATTGTACGATTTTACATTAGTAACTTAATGTCCTTCAAGCAGACATTGGTATTGGGTTATTCTTGTATTATTACTGTCTTGTAGCATATCTATGGAAGCAATGTTTGAAAAAAAAAAAGAAATCGTCTGCTCTTTAGGCGTTGTCGCCGTACAATTTCCGTATAGGTATACAACTATGTCTACTTAAGAGTTTTTGAACTATCCTTATTGAGTATCGTATGAGTTAAAAAAATCGACCGTCCTCGATGTAATATTATAAAGATACTGAACAATTCGTGCTATAGAATTTGATCAGAGTTGTTATTTCTGTTATTTAGTTACAATACTTTTATAATGAGTACTGAGAAATCATTGGTTTTAATGTGATTAATAGTGTGTTTAGATGAATATTCGAGTGGAAAATTTCATGTGCAATTCTTTAATGTGAATATAACCAGTGAAAGATCTTTATGGTTAAGCAATTAAAATAAATACGAACTTTAGTATTATGTACTAACCCATACGGCCTTCACTGACATTTACAATGCTAATTTGTTATACAAACAATNCAAAATTATCAATGTAATATTCATTACTATGTAAGTATTATATTAGGTCAAGTATGGGATCGTGGTAAACCAAAAAATTGTAACAAATAAACAAATGAATCATTTTTTTTATGCATAATCAGTATTACTAATTACACGATTCTTTACACAAACATTTAGGTACTAAATTTTGAAGTCTGTTGAATGTTACATTGATTAAATTTTATACAAAATACTTATGTTTAACTTGAAAATTTATTTATTTAATATATATTTGACACTGTCGTCACTCATAAAAAGTTCAAGTTATTTCATATTACTAATGTGCCGCGAATGATTATAATAATTTCGTTAAATAACTATAGTTAAAAAATTACTGAATAGAACTTATATGAGTGCAAATAATTTTTTAATAAATACTTTAAGAATTGTATAACAGATGAGAAGTGGCCGCCCCACTTTTGTATCCTTTGGGATACAAAGGAATTGTATTTTGTATTTCTAATGTTTTTCATTAATACTTTTCAGCTTTGGTATACATTTATGTTTCATTTACTTTAATGTAATATATTGACGTCTTGAAAAATAATAATACAAATTTTTCATAGTAATGAAACTTTTCGGTATCACAGCAAAATAATTTCTGATATAAAATAAAACTGTTTAAAAAGCATGTGTGACAGTACTTACTATAAAAATCGATTGTCTAACCATCGCTAATGTGCTGTTTTTAGATTGCAATAATGAAACGATAGTAGGCCTATTTAATAAGTACTTTGCAAGATTGTCGAATTCTTCGATTTATTAGCACTACTAATTACACTGAGTTATTAGTTATGACTGAGTTAACTGCGTACTTGAAAATGTGATGTAGAAATAAAGAGTACATTAAACCTACACATAAAATTTACGATTTTTATGAAATCAAGTTATGCCACTCATTATTGGGTAGGTGTGTACAATCTTTGTTCCGGTTTTAAATTTTATGTTTTCAACTACTTTTTAATCAAATTTCTCCCGCATTTTCTTTTAGGTTGGATTTAATGTTAATGTTATAGATTATCCATTTGTTTATCTTTACCAAGCAATTAATTTATTTGTGCCAACTATTTCACTAATTAAAAATAAATTACTCATAGATATCACCTATACTTAAAATAATTTTACTGATTATTAAAAAAAATACATTTTTACTTTATCTTAATTAAATTATCAGGAACAAAAGCACAAATCGAAATTTACAATTTGTTACCATCATAATATGACTTTCAGTAGGTAATTTAAAATCTTAAAGGAATTAGGTCAAGATTTGCTTCTTAACGCTAAATCGTTCATGCACATCTTAAGTAAAAGAGGAATTCAAAAAGAAAAGTTAGCCACTTATAGATTATGATGTTAAGTCTATGAAACTTGTTTCCATTTGCTTACCAAGCGACCCGTCAAAACTAAGGGATAAGAAGATTAAATATTTGATTTTATAATACTGCTATTTGTTAAATAGCATAGGTAGGAAGAGTAGTTACAAGTTACTTGTATTCAACAATAGTTAAATTAATTCGACTTAACTATGATTTATTCGAAGAAGTATTTTATTATTAAAAAATGTTTACTTTTAATAAATAAATTTGTTTATAATTAAGCAACACATTGTACGATTTTACATTAGTAACTTAATGTCCTTCAAGCAGACATTGGTATTGGGTTATTCTTGTATTATTACTGTCTTGTAGCATATCTATGGAAGCAATGTTTGAAAAAAAAAAAGAAATCGTCTGCTCTTTAGGCGTTGTCGCCGTACAATTTCCGTATAGGTATACAACTATGTCTACTTAAGAGTTTTTGAACTATCCTTATTGAGTATCGTATGAGTTAAAAAAATCGACCGTCCTCGATGTAATATTATAAAGATACTGAACAATTCGTGCTATAGAATTTGATCAGAGTTGTTATTTCTGTTATTTAGTTACAATACTTTTATAATGAGTACTGAGAAATCATTGGTTTTAATGTGATTAATAGTGTGTTTAGATGAATATTCGAGTGGAAAATTTCATGTGCAATTCTTTAATGTGAATATAACCAGTGAAAGATCTTTATGGTTAAGCAATTAAAATAAATACGAACTTTAGTATTATGTACTAACCCATACGGCCTTCACTGACATTTACAATGCTAATTTGTTATACAAACAATCATCAACATTTTACACTTAATTAAATCATTTTTTATTATTTTGAAGATTTTTTCTTATGTGTTTTATTTGATGCAAAAATTTAATTATCAATGGTTTTTATAACAGATAAAATTCAAAGAATGAGTTTGCCCGTTTTCTCTTTATTTTTGGTAACTAATGCTAATGAGTTCAATGATATCTTAATCTATTAAGAAGAAAGTTTTAAAAATTAAGTTATTTGTGCACAGTGGAGCAACCAGAAAATAATTGTGGGAGGGGGTATTACCTTTTTCTATTGCTCACCAAATTTTTTTACTTATATTTTAATATTTAGGAAAAATCGAATAAGCAAAAAAAAAGTTTATCACTACTAAAATAATCCAAACATTGATTATAATTTTAGGGGAGGAACACAGCTGCTAACCACTCTATGACGGTGCCATTGTTTGTACTAGGCTTTTTATACAAGATTATTAAATAAATATACATTTTAACATAGTATAAAACAAATTTACTTTTAAGTATATTAGTTACATAAAACGAATCCTTGTAATGAAAATCGGTAAGAATACGAACATTTGAAATGTTTGAGTTTAGCTATGGAAAACCTTGGTTGCTTTGTGTAATATTAAAATTTGTATTTATAATGAAAGAATCAGATACAAAAGTGTCATTTAAAAGTACAAGTTCTATCCATGACCCGTTGACTGTTAGTTAAGCAGTATAATAATTAATTATTTAAGTGTCCGTCAATGTTACTTTAAACTTTAAACTAAAATTTTCTCATCATACCTAAAGAGAAAAATTGTCATTTATCAATATGATTGACAATTGATTGAAGGAATAACATTTTTGGCGCAGGTTTTATTAACCAATATATAAAATCACTTCATTTAATTTAATAGTAGTATACTACTACACAACTCTGGGTTTACTGTCAAAAATGTGCGTGTCACGATTAACGGTTTTAAATATATTATGCAATTGGCTGGGATTGATATTGTTCTGTATAGGATCATTTGTGAGTTAAAAAGTACAAACCTAAAGCAGCTTTCACCCTGTAGGTGTCCATGTTTTCCAAATAACTTATAAAACATTTCAAAATAATAATTACAATTGTCATGATTATGTAGGTATTTATTAATTATAAAAATGCAATTGGCCGGTTAATTTAAAAAAAATAATTGACAGTCATCAGAGTAGTCGATTGAAAAATTACCATTTCTATCTTATAAGTTAAATAATATCATTAGACAATGCTGCATTACATTTTTATCTACTAAGAAGTGCTCATTTTAAGCTGAATGTTTATTGTAAACAACTTTATAAATACAATTTATTTTTAGCAATTTATCAATTAAAGTTTTGGGGTTAGAGTAAAAATGAATTTAGTCTTTTTTAAAAAAAATTTCAAGAGAGTCATTTGAAATTTCATATATAACAATATAATTAAATATTCTACTTCAATAATCTTACAGTTCCACTTTTTTTTAAAATTCATTTTTGGATAGCACATTAAATTAAATTAAATTTACGTACAGGTACAAAAAATATAGACAAGCGATAATTTATTTTGAAGATAAATGGCGAAAACTTTTTTACTGTGTTTAAATAAATTCATTGTTTTTTTTGAAAAATGTTCAAAACATTTTTAAAAATTTAACCAATGATAGACTATAACTACTTTCATTCTAACCTTTCTTAATAGGGTGTGCAGTTAATAAGGAAACGGGTTTCTAATGTGTTCATTCTTTGAAATTCCTTACTTACTGAACAATCTATATAAAATTTTAAAATTAACATTAAATAATTGCGAAGATTTAATTTTAGTTATTAGAAACGCAATAAATTTTCAAAAAAAAGTGTTAATTGAAAATTAATATTTTTAAATATAATGAGTTTATTATACAGGTAGTTGTCAGAAAATAAGAGACATTAAAAAATTGTGACAGCTTATTTTTGAGTTCACGTCAAATGGCCATATTAAAATTGATAGTAAACATTTGTTTGCATTGATAACTCATTGCGAACTAAATTGGAACTTTTAATCACTTTGGTATAATTATTATAACTTAAACATTTTTTTAATAAAAAAATGATTTTACAAATTGTTTATTTTTGATTTTACAACGAATTATTATACAGAGTGATTCATTAAGGATAAGACACTCATTTTTTAGGTAACTATTGAAATAATGATTTTTTTTCTATTATTATTTTACTGTTTTGAATTCAGGAGTCACTCATTTTCTATGGTGTAACATAAACTAATTTAACTTAATTCAGTTAATGATGTTATGCTACAAACTTTTAATACGTATCAGTTAACAAAAATAAAGAATACTTTGTGTAAGCAATGATTACGATAACATTATCGCAGTATTCGATTATTTTAAGAGTCACTATACTACGCGTAGAGTTGGGTTTTTCAAAGAAATTGATTCTTCAATATTACAGTTTGTCTTACAAACCAATAGGCTGTGCTATTAATGATAAAGTTAAGGCCCGATTTGAATCTATTTCTATTATCTCTCAATTTGTGTGTCATAATTTATTATTGCTATCTTACATGTCATATTTTGGCCAACAAAAATTAGTTTATATTAAAAATAGTGACTCCTGTATTCGAAACAATAAAATAATAATAAAAATTTAATCCAAAATCATTTAACTTAAATAAGCTGTAACAGACAAACGGTTGATCGGAAAAAAAAAAATTATAAAAGCTAAGTTGTTTGTATTATTATTTTAAATCATAATAACAAATTCAAAATAGGGGTTCCCATTTAAGAAAATTCAAATTAATGTTTTTTAAATTTGAAGGAATGAAAAAAATTATGTTTTTACTACATATTATTGTAGAACTTTTTGAATTAAACAATATTTTCTTTACCAAAAATTTAAAATTTACCGAGAAAATGAGTGTCTGATCCTTAATGAATCAACCTGTGTATTTAATTATTTATTGTTGTGTTTATTTTATATTATAGGATATTTTTCAAATTATTTAATTTAGTCACTTATTAAAAATCGTATTATTTATTAAATGAAATTTTTTTTTAACGACTTATTTTACTGTGGCTGTTTTATCTTATGACAAATACACTAAAACAACCAATCGACTGTACACTTATTTTCTTATGTTACGTTAAATTACATATTTTTCAAAGATTTCAATACACGATTATCTCAATTCAATTGCGTTATTATGATAAAATTTACATTTTATTATTTTGAAATTGTCAGATATTAAAACAAAATATACAAATCAAACTGTCATGATAAAAAAAAGTTTAACATAATATTACTTTATCTTACGGCTTTCATCATTTGACGAAAATAGTTATTACAATGCTGTATAATTATTATACTATAAATATAATACTCTCTATACAAATATAAGTATAATTACATTAGTGAATTCAACCTAGTATAATATTTTCATTGTCAAGGTTTTTTTAATAAATAGCTGCCTAATTATTTGAGAGTTTGATTCAGTCTCTGTTTTTTAATTTTAGAAAAACCAAAAAAATAATAATTGTTGAAATGAGTACATTTGATGTATTTTTATCGAATATTCCCATTGTTTCATAAATTATAATTATATTTTAAGCCAAATATATAATTGAACTCACTTTGCAGTTAATATAAGTATAGAATCATGAATGTTTTAGTATTGTACAAATTTCTTAAAATAAATAAATAAATTACGTATCATGTAATAATAAATAATATATGACCATAAGGTTTGAATCATTTAAATAATAAATTGTGGAATAAATTTGAAATAATTTCAGTAATACAGTATTAGGCGCTTTATCTATATTTTAGTTAATTATTACGCATAATGGATACATTTTAATAGTGTTGTAAAATGTATTTGAATATTTGCGTTCAAATTCTAATTACTAGCACTTAAATTTTTTTTCGTAATTAAAATATTTTTTAATACTCATGAAATATTGTATTTTGAACAATGAATACTTGATAATTCTATGTGCATTTATATTTTTCTGCTTTACAATTACTGTCAGGTATAATATTTATACAAAGGTGGTCCTAGAAAATTTTCCAGGGGAATGTTTGGCAACTTAGGATGTGGAAATCGGCATTTTTATTATTTTAAAACCATTTTTTTTTGTTCTTCACGTATAAATACCTAAACCGTTATGTTCACCGATTGAAATTTAATTGGTTGATTTAATATTTTTGGACTGTATATATTATTATATATACAATATATACTGTATATACAATAGAAATCAAAACAATTGTAACAAATTTGAAGTATTAATATTTAAAATACATTTATCTTAATAAACGTTAAATATATCTACATACTTTATAAAATCCTACTGCAGCCAAAATAATATCAGTTTGTCTGACATCACTTACATAATTAATAACCACCTTGTAATAACACGTAATCATGTTATTCTGATTTAATTAACATTAAAATAAATATTAATTAAGCATAATTTAAATATTTTTATTTAAATATTATATAATTATAAATAAAATTAAACAATTTAAAATTTGTAGCTAAAATAAAACTGTTTAAACTAAAGCCAATAACATAACAAGTCATTACTACAATTTTTTAAGTCTTTAATAATATATTTAACATCCGTGTTCAATTTTCAAATTTGTTGAAAATTAAAGGTGCCGTTTTGTTTGATTTAGCCAATTTTTTGTGCTATATTATTTTATATGTTTTTATAGATATTAAATAAAAGCGTGGAAAAAGAGTTTTTAATAATTTATAATTAATATTAAAAAATAAATAATTCACTTATCAGAACGATTAAATTGATTTAATGAAATAAAAAAATTTCACTTAATGTATTGATAATGTAAAATAATTGTAATATAATACTTAATTATGATTTTCAGCTCTATTCTAACTAGTAATTGTCATTACTCTTGCAATTAAAAATAATTTCAGTTTGACACTTTTTTTAATGTAAATATTAGTTATTGTTACAATTATTTTTAATCTTTTATTAAATTAATATAATACTGAATAGTTATATAATAGTTAAATAATAGATCTTAATTATGTAGTATAACATAGAATAATACAAAAATTTTTACAATGAATGCATAAAATACAATGTGGTAGTGCTTGATATCAAAAAAATGATGTTAGTAATCATAGGAATTGACCGGGAGTTTAGTAGGACAGAAATGACAGGGCTAGGAAAGTCGTTGGATTCTAAAATGTTTTTAAGCAGTTTTCTATTAACCTTATCAGAATTTTTTTTTAAGTACCAGTATTGACAACAAGTGAAGTATTGCACCAGTAAACTGATTATTGGCTATCCCGTACTTGCTGACGTCTTATCTAAGTACTTGGCTGCCATTGTTGGCAGAGTACTGGCTGTACAAAATCTCCAGTACTCATTTTATCAGTATGGAAAAATTATATAATTTTAAACACACGATAGTATTAGTACTGGAAATCACTACTGCACCAGAACTGCCAGTTCAGATGCTGTGTTGTGTCTGTTATTAATTTCTGATTGGAAAGGAGGGGTAACTCATGGAAAAATTTATCAACGATTTCTTCTTCGTACAAATGACAAAAAGGAACTGAGTTAAGGTTTAACTTACAGGTAAAAGCTGGTAAAAGATTATGACCAAGCCCGAGTCATGAAAAGCAAGATATAAAATTAGGGATGAGATCTAGGTAAAGGAACCATGAATCCTTAAATGGTCTAGGTATTATGGACCTATAACATCGATCAAAGCTAGGTGAGCCGTGTACTCACAAGGGTAGATTTAAAGTAATGTAAGTCGTCTGAATAATGCACAAGAAATAAAGTATTAAAAATCAAAGATGGTGTTTTTAATTAAAGAATCAGTGAATGTTATCATTGATTCCGATACGGCTAGGATCCGATAAAATTTAACATCCTTACCAGGTAATACCATTTTGAAAGAGAGTACTTTGATTGAAAAAACAATAGGGAAAATTTGAGAATAAAAAAGAATTGATATTAATAGCTAAGAGACATGCCTGTAAGTGAACAAATAATTTAGTGTCCTAAGAATTTTAAGAAGTAAATTCATTAGATATAGATTTTTAAATTTGTAGTTTCTTATTTTAATTTCATTAAGTATAATTGATTATATACGAGGTAATAATTGTATATACATATATGATTTTAACACTACGACTATTGAAGAAATTTAAAGAAATCTGTTTTACGATTTGAATAATTCATTTTCAAAAGTGGTTAGAGTAGGAATTAATTGAATAAACTAAAAATGTTATTTTATTGATTAAAATTAGGGTAGAAACGTTATTTTTTGAATTACTTACCTTGGTATTGGATTTTGTAGCACTGTGCAATGAGTTGTCAAGGTTAATAATACATAGAACTTTTTTGTTCTTGTAATTTTTTTTCTCTCTTCATAAATATGCATATTAAAAACGTAAACACGTATAAGTTGTAATTTTCAATTACTAAAATTTGGTATTACTTATTTTTTAAAGTACATAATTTTTAGACCAATTATTCTATAAAAACGAGGAAAATAGTCACTTACACCATTAAGATACATATCGTCTAAACATAACCAAGGACATTCTTCATGCACTTTTTTGGTCTGCCCTTTTGTAGTATTATTAAAAATGGTTGTATAGATATGAAATTAACATACAGACACTATGCCTACAGGTATCCAGTGTGTTCTCATTTGAAGCCTTTTCCAATACATAGCGGCCATAATCAAGGCTGTCAATCTGCTATACGAATATTAAATTAAACAATCAAACTTCGACGATAGAATAGATTTTCTGGAATATAATAAATAATTATTCTACAATTTTCTATTGGCTTTTATAAATATGCCAGAAGGATATTACCCTTAAAGAAGGTTCTCAATTTGTGTTATAATTCTGCGTAGTTTTATTTGACTATTGACAATAACAATGAATTGCATAAGGATAATAAATATGAAGTATGTGCAAAAAATAATTTTTCGTCACTATGTATGAAAAGTAATTTTTTTTTATAAGACGTTAAATATCTAAGTATAATTTTGCATCATTAGTATAATAAAAGTTATTTTGTTTTTTTTTTATATATATACTTTTAACTATTTTACTCGTAAAAATAATATATATTAAAAATATTTTAATAAGTATTTATATTTTGTAATAAAAATAAAATACTGTCAAGCTTGGGGTGGTAGTTAAAGTCATGTCAGTTAAATATTATCTTTTAAGCCGTATTGATATANATATATATTAAAAATATTTTAATAAGTATTTATATTTTGTAATAAAAATAAAATACTGTCAAGCTTGGGGTGGTAGTTAAATTCATGTCAGTTAAATATTATCTTTTAAGCCGTATCGATATACAACACTAGTATTGTTAAGTAAAACAAAGTATTTGCTGACAAATTGAGTGATGAAATTTGTTAAATATTTAAACAAGTTGGCCTATTTGATATTAAAAAAAATATCCATTTTGCAATGTAAAATAAAAAAACTTATGATAAGTTTCAACATAACTATGTTGATGATAAAGTGTCCATATTAAACAATTATATATTATTGGTTGGGGTTGTATATATTATTTGTTTGAAAAAATAATGATGATGTAATTATCTAAGACTATTTTCCAAAATATGTCAATTTCAACAACTTTTGAGTAGAGTAATAGCAAATTTAAAACTTCATGGTGACTTTCACAAATTATTATGTATAGCTGTAAAAAAAAACAAATATTCTTAAAAAATCTATATATATTTTTTTGACATAATAATTGAAAAGAAGGCACAGATGCATATGCTTTGTTATGCTGGTTTAAAATTTTTGTTAATTTTAAGCTTCAAATGAGTAAAATATGGTTGCTAAAGTTTTTACGACATACAGTGAAAACTTTTGATTTGGAAAAATGAATTAATGCTTCCCTAATTATTTCTATGTATGCTCCTGGTTTTAAGCACTAAACATCCTTGTTTATATAACCTATAATATATACTTAAAATTCCGTTTTTGTTATAATTCATAGATATATAAAGAGGATTCGGGGTGATATTAATGATGTTTAAGGAAGTAAAATATAAAGTAAAATTTACTGTAATTCGTAGACAAAAATTGCGCGCTAATTTTTCTATTGTTAAAAACTTTAAATTTATTGAACATAGGTTCAAATTTTAGTAAAAACATATTTATTTCTTAGTACTCAAAAGTATTGATTTTGTATGATTTTTCCTATTACAATTTTAATGGATATTGTAATACATGCTCATACTTTTTATATTGCATGGACACGTATAGATAAAGCTTACGAGTACAAACTAATAATATTTTTTAAAATTTAAGAGTGTTGAAGTTCCCTCTCCACGTGAAGTAATTGTACATAGCGGCTTGTCCTCTTCATGAGAATAATTAGTGCACTTGCCGGCTACTTTATTCAGTCACATACAACGTGCCTTTGGAATATAATCTAAACCCTGCACTCATGTAACTCCAATTTTTATAAAAAATAATTATTTGTATTAGACATTTCTGTGCATTGTGTAATTATTCGTAATGACAGTGATACCGACCTTCGTTATCGATAAAATATTCTCGAAAATATTTAGGAGACAATCAAAAAATTATAACGTAGAACGTGAGTATATATTAAATTTATTATAATATTTACCTAAACAAATTAATATTTCTTAATAAAATTTTAACAAATTTTCATGTTACATCATAAAAATGTTTCCAATGTTTGTAAATTAATAATAAATGTTCACATTATGTATTAATATTTTACAGTAAATTAAAAAAAAATGAATATATTTAATTTATACTCATTAAACGAACTTTTGATATAATTGCATCTCGTTTTTATTTTAAAATGAAAAGTGCTTAAAGTAGAACTTAACTGAAACATACTTATTACTAATATTAAATAGTTAATTTGTAATCTATTGATATAAATAATTTTTAGTATCAATTATATATTAATAAAGTAATATAGTATAAGAGATTTCGATTAGCTGATTATTTATATATATTAAAAATAATTTAAGTAAAAGTTTAGTTATTTTATTAAATTATAGCTAAACAAACATTAAGCATTAAATCTCAAGTGTTGACCCAAATTGGTTTTAGATTAAACACCATTATTAAAATTTTATGAAATATAAATAATTTTTATAAAATAATTTATAAAATTACTGCATTTAGTAAATGCAATATTTAGTTTAAGAGCTCTTTTTCTTGAGTATTTTCTATTTATTTGTTTATTGTTTAAAAAAATAGTTATTTTGTCTTCAAGTCATGATAAATCTTAATACCTAAACATTTTAACGATTATAAATCAAATAACATTAAAAAATTGTAATTAACTTACGCAATATAGAATTAATAATAGTGGTAATATACAGAACGAACATGTAACTACCAACCCACTTGCGCTCTTTCTTATTTAGTACACATTCTCGACAAGATTTCACTTTCTTTAGCATTCAGAATCACTTTAAGAAACGATGACAGTTTTGTTAATGCATTATTTTATTAAGTTAATTTACATTTTATGTATTAATGTAGGATAAAAAGCTATTACTTTGTTATAAAACCGTATTTCGGACGATGAATCACAAAAAAGTATAAGCAAAATACAAAAAAAGAATAAAATTTTATTTTGTTAGAATACATAAATAAAAATAATGTATATTTTTCCTGTACATCTCAATAGCGATGGAGAAACTTTATATTTTATATATTTTAAGACAATCAACAAATGTACTTTAACACACGTTTAACCGACAGTCGCAATATATTCTCAGTCTGTAATACACCACGTGCAATATTGTTGCGATTTATGTTACACACGAAAGGCCAAGCACTTAGTGACTTTTTCTGTCCCCTTCAGAATCATATCTCATACATACACACAACAATAGTTGTTCTTTTTCGTGTACGAGATGGTAAAAGTCAAAAAACGTGACCAATTCTTTTGCCCTATCTGCCATGTGTCTGTAATTTTTTTATTTTGAAAGAATCGTAAAACAATTGTTATCCAAATCGAATAAGCACTTAGTTGGATAGAAGTGAAAATGCATTTTCTCGCACGTTATATTTCAATAAGTAAAATATGTTGTACAGATCTATTTTTAATTTATTTTCTTTCTTCGTTAGTTTTAAATTATTATGTTTACGAAAACAATATCAGAAGAATATCCTTAATATGTTTTTTTAAACTGTCAACTGCGTCGTTTAAAGTGGAAACACAATTCGGAACTTTGGATGGACTCGTTTTTATAGGCTTATTCAAGTGTTTCAATTGAATCATCTCATTGCCCTTGGTTTTATTAATCTTACACTTTAATATACAAATAAATAGGTACACATTGTTTTCAAAAGGATGGTTACTCAAGATAGACCTAGTTTGAATAATGTATTGTATTTATAACATTGAAAAATCAGTTATCATAGTAATAGTAATATTTATAACAATGATATTGTCATAAAAATGTTATCTATAAAGTATTCTTTGTGTAAAAATTTTCTAAAATACTCGATATTTATTTTAATTTTGATGTTCAATTATATTTAACCAATACTTCATCAAATATTTCGAATAAATCAATTGCAGTGTATAATTTGATTGTATTTTGGTCTATGTTCTCTTACAAGTGAATAATTTTGGCAACAATTGTTATTGGTAATCTTAGATAGAAGCATTGAGTGTTTTCACCAAGTTTTGAATATGATTTTGCTCCTTGTCTGCTGTTTTTTTTTATTGTACAATTTCGAGATTTTATCTAGAAAACTATTATTTATTTATTATTATATTAAACAAATGGTTTTTTCGAAATTTTTACAAGAAATCAAATACATTATAGTTTAATATTGAAAAATTCGCGTTCACTAAGTTAAGAAACGGGTTTCTATTGTTCTTATTGTTTATAACAATTGACCTGTTTCCTTACGTACTGAACATTCTGTATAAAAATAAGGACTTTTATTCTATTGGAAACTATTGAAAAATTTAAATTTTTGTAAAGAAAAAATGTCTTTAACTTTTTTATATCCCTAAAGGGATGAAAAAATATACTATTTAAGAGAATCTTTCCCTTTCATTAAATAATTTTCACATAATAATTTATTGGCGAGTAAAAAAAAAAAAATGTATATCTGATCTATTAAGTGGAAGTATTGATTCCTTATATTTATTAGGAAAAATAGGTATAAATGTAACATAATTTGAGAGATCATGTCTTACTTTATATTAAGCATCTCAATTAAATATATAGATACTATGAGCCAATTAATCGAATGTTAATAACTTGTAATGAATGTAATATTGATTTATTTTTTGAGAGTTTAGACACTATTAAGTTTATGATAAACTACCAATTTATGTTTTGTCTACAGAATGTAAAAATGGAATTTTTAATTATCATTATTTTAATTATAATTTTTTTTTGTTTTGTAATAGGTATGAGTAAGTGTGGTAACTGTTAATTTGGTTGTTGTCTTTATATACAATTATGTTATAAATCTATTTAACTTTTAATATAATTATCTATTCATCTGTATATTGGCTTCTGGACATAAATAAATAAATAAAATATTAGTTTAAATTTGGAATGATGTACATACAGATATTTGTATGCCATTCTTTTCATCAGAAGAATGAATATATTCTGTCTAAATATTATTTGCAAAAAAAAAAAAATTTTTTTTGGAGTAACCATAATTGCAGCTTTACAATAATAAACTTTGATGTATTTACATAGTAGTAAAACTCAAATGTTATTTGCACTAATTGACTTGACACTCGTAATTTAAATAAAAGTGTACTATTTTTTTTCATTCAAAATATGTAATGTTTACTGACAAAGTTTGTCAATAAATAAGAAGGAATATTAATATACATATCACTAATTCTAAAAATTAATTCAATGCCTTAGCTAACTAGCCTTAATTTTTCAAAAACTCAGTTAATTTTCCTCGTATTGTTTTAGAAATCTAACAAAAGAACAAAATTTAAAACCAGAAGGTTTCAAAGTAATTGAAAAGGTTAGACGTAATGTCATTTGAAAATTAGTAATAAGTAAAGGCCTCCAACAAGTGTTTCTAGACCATCGAAGTATGGTCAATATTTGACACGCATTAGTGTTTTTCAAATCAATTGTAATTTTTAATTGCAATTACATAAATCGCCGTGACTTAATCAATGATCAGTAATAATTTAATATTGCAATATTTGTATTTTTAAAATGCGTTTTCTAATAATGTATTTAAAAAATATAAATACAATATTGCATTAAAAGAACTTTTGTATACATGAAAACTTTTATTTCTAAAATAAGGCCGTTTATTATTATAGTTTGATAAAATAATTTTTGATTATTATGAAGATGTTGTGGTGTGACAAAATCAGTGACACCAATAGATCTTAATAGTAGTTCACGAGTTCTTTTAACGAATTTTTGGAATTGTGTTTGAAGTGGTATGAAATATTCCATGAATCTATTTCTACTGTTAATACTAATTTTTTTTTCTCGAAATTTGCCGTGTACTTTCCGCACTAGGTTAACATAGAGATTAAAGTCACATATTGTACGTGTACTATCACTATGATGTAATTCATATCAAGAAAACGCAATAAGTATAACTGAAACTATGTCGAATTACTTATTTTGTGATGATTATAAGGGGGGGAGACAAACAATGTACATGAGTGATTAAATTTTAACATTTAATTTTGAATGTTTATTCATATTCAACAGGCAAATGTTTAAACATTTCAATATAATTATGCTGACCTGATTCAGTAACTACTCTATACTCATTTGTTAAATATCATATTCTGTAGGTTCTAGTGCAATTTTTCATATATTGTTTGTCTTAACGTACTACAGGAATATTATGTTGAGCTTTAACGAATTACGCACAAGTGTAACCGATAAAATGTCTGCGTTAGTACTCAATAATAACTGTTTGGATAACGCTTAATTATTATATGTATTTTTTACTGTTTTTTCACGTTTTTAGGATATAAATAACGATAGTCTTTCTATTGTCCAGAAAAGGCACTATATTAATTATTACTACTATTAAATGTAATATATTTTGTAATTACAATGAACACGCTATACAATATGCAACAAAATTTAATTCAAAAACTTTTTTGTAATATTACTTTCCCTTTTTTTTAAGTGTATTATTTCACAACCAAATATAGAATTGGTTTTTATAATTAAATATGAACAATTTTTTAAAATTATTACACCAAATTTATACGTCTAATAATAATTTATAATAATAATTATAGTTCTAAAAAAATAATATTGAACATTAGTTTTAAAAAAAAAAACAAATTAAAAATTCAGATTATCTATAAAAATTATTGTGAACTTTTTAAAACTGTTTTTTTTTAATTGTATGTTGATTTTAACCATAAATAATAGAATACATTATCATCATCACCTCATTACCCTTTAATCTAACAGTTTAGAGTCGGCTCTATCTTACGATCTGACAATTTTGACCTGATACAACCTCATAATGGCTGAAGGAGCCAGTATAAGGGCATGGTGTCACTGTTAATTTACCGATAGGGTCACCCATCCGGGAACCAACAGCAAATATCGCAGATGAACATCAGTGCTTTAGTCCCGACAGATTTATCCACTTTTCTACAACACGCCCTGGAACAAAGGAATACATATTTATAGAAATTATTACATAATCTTGTTTGAATATGAATAAAAGAAGTAAAAATAAAAGTTTTATTCTAATTTGAGTAATTTTAGTAATAAAAATAATACTTTTAGTACAATTTAAAATTATAAATAACCTTTATAATGAAGTAAAATCTTTAAGAAAAACGGACAAAGTCTATATGATTTGTAAAATTTCACTTTCTGTTATTATAATTCAACTTAATGAAACTATCACGTTTAATGTTAAAAGTATGCTATGGGTAATTGTTCAAAAAAAAAAAAAAAATTGTCACAAATTGAATAGGCATAACATTTTTGTCCAGTTTTGTTTTGTCCATGAACGGTGTTCACTTTGAATCAATTTAAATGGCCAGCATAAGTTATGTTGTGCTATAAGATGCTGTTAATAGACTTTTTTTTTTACATCGGTCCATAAGTTACGGATATAATAGTTAAAGTCAATAGAGGACAATAATGAAGAAGCCTAACCATGACAAGTAGTTGACAGTTTAATTCATCTATGACTTTGACGGACCGGAAAGAATACTTTTGGTACACAGCTCGAATTAAATTTAAGAATAAAAAAGGTATTAAGAATGATAACAGACGATGTAATACTCCTTTTTGAGTCCATGAAATAAACTTAATTATATTTTTGAATACTTCATAAAAACTATATAATAAAATATTCATTTGAAAAATTAATTATGTTAAAACAATTTTTGTTAGGCACTTTTGATGCCTTTAAGTCTTAATTTTGGAAAGCATTCTTTTGAAACTTTATGTGAAAAAGCTATTTAATTAATATTAAAAATCCAATAACTTGTTAACTTCCTATCTTAGATTGAATTGTACACAATTTAATAGAATAAATGTACATGTTTTGGCCCGAGGGATATAAGATTTACGGCTTAAAATGTGAATTGATGCAGCAAAAACATTTAAAGGGCGTGTCAAAAAGTTTAAACATTGAGTAATAATCTTCATCGCAGAATGTACAATAATAACATGAACAGTACCGCATGGAACGATGGAAATTTGTTCTTGTGGCAAGTTAACAAGACTTCAGAGATGTGTGTAATCAAAGGAAACATCATTTGCACGAGCTAAGTCCGTTGGTTAAACTTTTTGTTTAATATTTAGCGAAAAATATTTTCAAGTTGCAATGATCTGACTGACGTTTAAGAACTCTCTTGCAACTTAGACCGTTCAGACTTATTTAATGAAGTCAAATAATAGTATGTTTATGGAAATCACAGTCTACATATAATTGTATAAAATTATAATTAAAATTATTTCTGGTTCAACAAATGGTAAATAGGTTTTTTTGTTAAAAATCACGAAGTGATAAAATTTATTGTATCACAAGGACGTATCGTCGGATATTATTCTGAACATCGTAAAGTCCGAATTTGATTTTTATTGTCATTTAATTAAACGTCGCGGGGCACAAACTATGACGACATTTCCGTGTAAATTATACGCTATTTGAACACAAAAAAGTAATGTCCGTGACTTTGTAACGACAGAAACAAGAGTGTTATGACCGTTTCGGTGTACTATTATTTTTTACGTGTATTAAAATGCCCTATGGTTCTTATAAGATTTTAACGATAAGCAATTCGTCGAAGTTGAGACAATAAAGTTAAATTTTAAAGTAACTCGAGTCGAGCAGCTTGTGTATTTGACGACGATGAAAAACATGATTAATGTACGGTGATACGTATAAAATTACCATGAATCACGTTATAGTACACTGTATAGTAAAAAAATATATGTGTGTGTGTGTATGTGTTGCAGGTTCATAATATTATCCTTGACACAGCCAAACGTATCGCCGTCTTAGAGGCAGTACTCGTATGAAACGCATACAACCTCAACAATGTCAATGAGCCTTTCTCTATATGTTTATTTTTATATCCCATAAGCACATTACATGTACTTGATTTTCAACCGTTTTATTCTGAACTCAGGATTCATATTGGATAAAATTCCTAGATTATGCATATTATAATAAAAATAAATATTGCATAACGATACAGTTATTAAAATGTACATAAAAACGTCGTGACGGGTTGTTAAAGCTGACAATCAAACTCGTACAGTCAAAGTTGTGTGTTTCAATGGCGATAAACGGAACCTGCACGACCGGAAATTTATTGTGTAGGCAGTCCGTTCCGTGTCTTCAGGCTACAGGCCTCATAGAAGGACCCCCGTTTTGACTGTGTATCAATAGTGTTTTAATTCAACTGTGTTCATTAGTCGAGTGCATACAATGAGATTCAAGGACCACTTAAAATACAATTAGTTCCGGCTTTTATTGGATAAAGTGTGCGATCTATCGAAGATAATCTGTACCGCTAATTTCATAAATCAGGTCATTGGGAAATCGTTAGCACCTATAAATTTTTAATTTTTCAATTTATAAATACCCTTGACAATATCTACCAATCTTGCAAGAGCAACATATTATTTATCGAATCTTAAAATATTAACGGCGTTTCATAATTAATTGATTAATAATTATTTCCGTCTTATTCTGCGTTGCCGCGAATATACAATAACTTGCCATAATGATCCTGTTACCCACATATTATTATGATAAATTATTTAAAATGTGTCAACATCTCAAATGACTGCTCATGATTCATTATACGTACACGTTATTTATTATTTAATGCATATGATTTAATTTAAGTGAAAATAAAAACTCAAAGTGCTAATAAATAAATCAGCTACCGTTTAGATTTTTTCATAAATATTATGTTTATAAATAGTTTAAAAATTTAAGTCAACTTTAAATTGAAATAATTCATATCATTGCTAATGACGTTTATTTTATGTTATTCAAAAAGGAAATGTGGCGGTTGGAGTTTTTAAGGATGAGAAAAAATTAGAAAAGTACGATGACCCTGTATCCACAGTGATTGGTGAATTTGGCCGATGGCAAGCTATTCTTGCTGTGGTCCTATCCTTGTTAAATTTGCCTTGTACGTGGCACATTTTCGTATTAACTTTTCAAGGGGCAGATACAGATTTCTGGTGTGCACCGCCTCCGGGTCTTCTGCAACGAATATCGGTAGATCAATGGAAAAATTTGAGTGGTGTATTCGTCGAATCGCCAAATAAGGTAATATTGGATGCAATTTAATATAATTTAATTGCATAGATTATATGGTCGGGTTTGATATCTATATATGTATATAAGTGAATGTTCAATTTTTAGTTAATGAACACTTATAGAATTAATGTCTTCTAAAAACTTCTAATCCTCAACATTATTGAATGATTATTTTCAGGGACTTGTAAAAATAACTTGAATTAATATCCATTATTTTTTTGCTATAGTCGCACGAATAAAATATTATTGAAGTGTGTAAGATATATTAAAAAATAGGGCAATGAAAATTTAGAATTTCCTTGTACAATTAAATCAATCTAAAAACTCATACAATCCTATTTAGTACAATAGAAAAGATACTCAATGAATTGAAGGCTTCCATACAATAACTTGGCATGTATACATTCAAAAAATTTCATGAGACATAAATATAAAATAGTTTTTAATTACAACGGAACAATTAATATGAGTTCGTTTAAGCTATACTTCTATGGCACATTATCGCACATGTCTGTTGTTTCTATAAATCATCTGGTATCTGATTAACATGATGCTATTAATTCAATCTAACCATAAAATCCAACTGTAGAATATATATTTGTTTTAAATATTTGACTAACACTAGTAAAAATAATTATTTATTTTTACATACGGAGTGGTTTTGTATTATGTGTTAATTTTAATCATAACAATTCAAAAATCAAGACGTAATGAATAACGTATTTTTAATTTTATTAGGACCTTATTTATGATCCTTGTGTTTACCGAGATATTAACTACGAGGGTTTGTTAGAAAATACTACATTTGAAGAACTACTGCACAGAGATGTGAAAAAAGATGTTATAAAAACATGTTCTTCGTGGCAGTTCAGTAAATCTGAATTTGGTGACACAATACAATCTGAGGTAAATAATAATTAAGACATCGGTATTACTGTTGTTACTTAGGATTTTATTTTACTAATAATATATTTTATGATTTATTTATTTCTTAGTGGGATTTAGTTTGCGAAAGAAAAAACCTAAAGAATTTTGCTGAGATGATGTTTTTGATGGGAGTTGCATTTGGTGGTTTCTTTTCAGGCCTTGTATCTGATAGGTAAGCCAAATTTTGTCTGCTTAAACATAATTACCCAAAAGTAAAACTAAATTATATACTTTCCAACAAACTTAATCTTAAAATAATAAAGAAATTAACTTTTTGGTGAACTTTTATGATAAGGCTGTAGTAATATAATATTTAGTCATTAACAGCTATTATACTTTTATTTTATTATAAGAAATAAAGTACCGTCGGTTGATTTAAGTATAATTCAAGTAACATGTTTACTATGTTTATGAATGTTTTATAGTTTTCCTAAAATCGAAAATGACCGATATAATATTCAAGTAAATATTGATTGTATACAATAAATTAGAAATATTATTATTATTTTATTCGCATGTATAAAACAATTCATAGACTACTATATAAATTGTTCCTTAGTTTCTGTGAAATACTTTGAAGACGCTTGACGTATTCTCTTTTATTTTATAAGCATAAGTTTTTTTGTTCGGTATAAATTTGAATTTTTGCTTTTGTAAATCTGTCTACAAATTACTATTAACTATCATTAATTATATTAATATTGTTAATACAGATTTGGTAGAAAGAAAACGTTGATGGCATCACTAATTATGCAATTGACACTTGGAATTTTTGTTGCTCTGTGTCCTTGGTTTGAAGCTTATTTAGTACTACGGTTCATCTTAGGGTTTGTTTGTGTGAGCATTGTATTCAGTGGTTTCGTGCTATGTAAGTGATTTTAGATGATTTACATTAATTTAATTAAATTATTCTGAGTTCATTTTTTAATGTCACCTGTTGCCAATACCTTGTTAGGTATGGAATTGGTCGGAGGAAAATGGTTGACAATTGCTGGTGTACTATACTTGCTTCCTGTTCCATTGAGTTACATTATAATATCTGGAATCGCATATTTTTGTAAAGGATGGAGATTGCTTCAATGGTGCGTTACGTTGCCAGCTGTTTTCTTTTTAGTTATTCATTGGTGAGTAGAAAAAATTATTAAAAATAAAATTTAATGAAATTATTAAATTGGCAAAGTAAAGTAATTATAAAAAATATTAGGTTTATACCTGAGTCACCGAGGTGGCTACTAGCGATGGGAAAAGTTGAAGAAACTATGGATGTTTTGAGAAAAGCTTCTAAAATTAACAATCAACCATTACCTGATAACATTGATAAAATCATCAGCTATGTAAGTAAATTTTAACCAGAAGTTAAATACATGAAGATAATAAAAATATAAAAGGTAGTTCTGAATACTCAGAAACCTCAAATGTTCAAATTATTGTATTCTATAGACAATTATTTGAATTTAATATTTTAACCAAATAGAGCGTGAGGAAACTGGAAGCTACCGGCAAACCTAGAGTTCGAGTTTTAGACCTTTTCCGAACAAAGACAATTAGGAAAATTTCTCTTGTTCTATATATATTGTGGTTCAGTTTGTATTTGGTGTACTATGGACTTGTATTGAACTTATCTAATATTGGAGGAAATATTTACATTAATACAATTATATCTGGTAAATTATGCTTGAATTTAAATTCAAAAATTAAAATTAAATTGAATATGCAATCAATTTTTTATTAATCTACACTTATATTTGTATTTAATTTTTAGGTTTGGTTGAAATTCCGTCAATTTTGATAAGCGTTGTAATTCTTCTGAAAATGGGAAGAAAAAAACCACTATGTTTAACAATGGTAGCGGGAGGAGTCGCATGTTTGCTAACTACAATTTTGCCCCCAGGTAAAAGCAGTTATATTTTTTTGTTAATATAAATAAATGTAAATATTTTTTATGTTAGATACTGACGAATGGGTTTCATTGTCATTGGTAATGGCTGGTAAATTTTCCGTTTCATCATCAAATGTAATAATGCCTCTTTATACCGCTGAACTTTTTCCAACTGTTATTAGAAACCTTGGTGTGGGTACCTCAAACATACCGGCTGGAATCGCTCTTATTATGGTTCCATATTTATGGAATTTGGTAATTTTTTAAATTTTATTGAATTCGTGTAATTAAAACACTAATTTAATATCCCACATAATTTCAATGAATGTTATTGTTTCAAAATGTTTAGTCTTCACTGAGTAGCGTTTTGCCATTGATGGTTTTGGGTACAGTGAGTGTTATTGGAGGGTTAGCTGTTTTATTGTTACCTGAAACTAGAAGTCATTTGTCTGACACACTCGAAGAGGTAGAAGAATGTATTAAGTAAGTATAGAATTATTTTAATTTAATTTAAATTAAAAATGTTTAATGTAATACTTGTATTCGTTGAATTAGTATATCAGGCTCACCACAGAAAAAATATATTGAATCTATATCTAATAATATAGTACGAAATACACCAGCAGAAAAGGAATAACAAGGCATTTGTTAGATCCTTATAAGTTACAACTTCTTCCTAACCTTTATATTACATTTTTTGTTTAGTTTTATATGTTTAAGTTACTTGAATTTACTTATAAAATGAAATTCTATTAATAATACATAATCTGTGATACATATCTGAAAAAAAGTTAACCATCGAGTTGGAAGAAACTCGTTTATGATTTTAGTGTTATGCGTATGTTTATAAATTAATGTAACTTGTATGCAGTGCCTAGTTAAATTTATTTATATTTTGTATTTGTTAATTTTTTATATTACTTATAAACTATTTCCTACGTTTAATTTTTATATGTACCAGATAATGTTGTATTATCTACTCTATTTTTATTGTAATTTTTATAAAGTTGTACAATGTAAATATTAATTTTAGAATTATGTATTATGTAAATTATATATTCACTTAGATTTTCTCAGAGAAGTTTCAGAAAATTTGAAATTAAGATTTATATAATGAATAAGTTATTTGAACAATTAACTTAAAATATGCACTCGTATATTTATAAATTAAAATAATTATTTTTTATAAGATTATCTTGTATGTGAATTTTTATAAGATACTCAACATTTTTTGACGGGACGTACTACAGATTATCAATATTAAAACACAAAACTGAAATGTTTATTTATAATTTGATTTAACACGAATAAGTGTTTTACGATTTATTATAGTTTTCAAATTTATCGTTAATGCCAATTTTGTGTATTATTTATTGTTGGCATAAAATCTGTGTATGTATCAAAATGTTGATGATTTTTCAATAGTTGATTATACAACTTTAATAATTTGTAGCTCAAGTGCTTTGCTGAAGTAATGAACATTTTTGTAGTAAAAGTTTAACCTTTTTTTTTTATAAATTATCGTTACAACTGTAAAGGTTTAAAAAATAGGTTAAACATTCTATTTCCAAAAAAACTCTTTATTCAAAGACAGCGGAAGTCAGGGGCGGACTTAGGTATGTGGCGGCCCCTTATACATAAACAAGGAAATATATTATTTTACTTATTAAATAACAATTATTATCATATTTGTGATACCAATGTATACCAAATTTGTGGGGACCCCTGGGCTACAGCCAACTCAGCCCTCCCCTAAATCCGGCCCTGACGGAAGTGTATAGCCATTAATGCACTTGCCTAGGCCCTCTCAAAAGGAAAAGAAGCTACGGATAGTAAGTACAATTTTGCTAATCAGGGTAACGGAAAAATAATAGTGGATTTTCTCAAATTAGAAAATAACTTATTATAATACACGAAGATTCTTTTAACGAATGCCATTTGAATTTTCTTAAATAAAAAAAATTTTGTACATTTTTTTGGGCTTTAGTTAGTTATTTATGTATTTCAATTTATCTGTTATAAAATATTTCTTTTGTTCATCCCTTATACGAATGTCAACTTTAATTTTTTAAAAGATAACATATATATTTATCTAGATTATAAAATAAAAAAATATGTAACAAAGAAAATAATTGGTAAATTACATCTTTTGAATCAGCGTTTTAGAAGTCATTAAAAATTTAAAGTATTTGCTGGAAGTATGACGAGGGCGTTGCGAATTTTGTTACTAGTTATTTCTTTATCTCGACCGCCTTCCCGCCTGGTTTTGGTATAGACAAGTTATTTTCTTGATTACATAATTTTTCTTTAAAATAAATAGTATTACAATAGACATTTCGATGATATGGCGTTTTATTATTTAACAGTATGTACATTATCTACATTATTAAACTGATAAGTCATTCAAAGTATTTTGGATACAAATTTCAGTTAACATCGTCTCATATTTATTTTTGATTACAATTTGATGTTACAAAAGTTATTAACAATGATTATTTAATTAAAAATTATTTTAGGTGATTTCATTAAATAATTTTACTATGAGAGCTTATTATATAAGATTTACGGATAAATTTTAGCAAACGATAAATATCGGTAAACTTTAATTAAACATTTTTTATGAATAATCATTAATAATCAACAACATAAAGATAGGGTCTATTCCACAAGAGACATATACGTAATAATTGTTTCGAATAAATGTATTTAAAAGTTGTTTAACTCTTGTGTTATACGAACGTTACTATTTTATTTGATCCTTATTTTTGGTATCTCCATACACATTATTTAATAAAAATAAATAAAAAGATGAGGTTATTACCCTAGTGTAAACTTAAATGGTTATTATCAAAAAGATACAGGGGATATTTATAGTTTGTTTTTATTACTCTACAATAATGTATATAGCCAACGATGTATATAGTTTTTAAAAGAACTTTGAAAGAGAGTCTAATGTCAAATTACCCAGAATGCCATATTACTTTGTACTTTATCGAGATGGAGAAATACTCATTTTTATAACTACCACATTGTTTAAAAAAGCGTATCCAGTATTAAGTTTATAAAGTTGAACTCAACAAAATTGTATTAATATTTCAATCAACAGTATATAGGATAAACTAATTAAAATATAACTTAAGAATGTATAATACAATTCAACATAAGATTGGAGTAAATTATAAATACAAATATTTCATTTAAGTGTAAAATTTCTCTCTAGTTTTTTGTTTTAATAAAATATATAATATCATATAAATATAATTTACAAAATTCAGTTTATTTTTAGTAATGCTAATGATTTGTAAATAATTTGTTACAATCATCTATTTTTATTTCAAAGTCTAGACTGCCAGTAACTTTTAATTAAATAATTCAAATGATTGGAAATTGTTTTTAATTAAAGGAAAATTAATTTAAAATAGAATATAAGAGTGAGTTTACACAACGATAAGCGAAGAAAATTAAAATGTTTTCTCTACAAAAGATCGAAAATACATGATTATATTTTAAATAGGTTTTATTGTAAATCGAAACACTTTGGATTCCATTTATTTTTTTAGAGTTAATCGACTTTAATGGTAATTATTATTTAGTCTGTAAGGATTGTACACATTCCTTATACACAATGTACTGAAACCAAATTTGGATATCAATAGCAATTTAAACTTTTTAGTAATACTATAGAGAATTAAATTAACATTTATACTTAAGTACTACATATAGTACATTTTAATTTCAAACTCAATTTATTCAATCTATTGATCGTAAAATTTACCATCGAACCACAATTCATATTTAATATGAAATGTGGTTTTATGATGTTGAATTATTCAAAAGAGATTTCTAGTTATCTTATCAGAAGAAGAAGGATTTATAATAATTAAAATATGAATAAATATCTTACTTTTTTACTTGATATTTAGATATTTCTACTTATTTTGGTAGTTTATTTTGTACTGTAATCCCATATAAGTAGTTATTTCAGTGCATAGAGTGGTAAATGGTAGATGTTCTTGTACATCTTCAAACTATTTTATATTGCAGAAAAAAGGGGAGCCAACGCGTCATAAGTTTAAATCCATCTTAAGGATATCAAAATTTATGCTTAACGTATGTTTCTCCCCTCCTTAAATAGAAATAATGTGTTTTGCCAATTGGTAGAGAGAGATTATTTTATGTTTACCTAGTGAATTTTATAAAACTAGTAGTATGTTGTAACATAAAACTTGAAAAAAAAAACATAAAATATGATAATTTAATTATCAATTTAGATTAACGATCCAAAAAAGTGAAAACTCTATCTATACAAGAAAAATATTTTATTAAATTATAAAATGTTAATGGGTTAATATATTGTGTTTTTAATTCGTGCCAATTTAGTAAAAAAAATATAAGGTTAGATTTGTTTTAAGCATAAGGGTTTATTAAAATGTATACAAATGAATAATTAGTGTAATGAGTTCGTAATTTTTATTAAATATGTGAATTTTTAATACCAATAAAAAAAATCTATTATAATAATTTAACTTTAGGAGTAAGGGTGAACTTATAATAAAGTTTTTGCTCTAATCGATTAGATGTATGTTTACGCTTGAGTGTATAGTCTTTTCAGTGATTGGAAGTTTTATGAAAAAAAAAAAAAAGTAAATTGCTTCATAAGTAAAGCCTGACAAGGAGGATGAGTATGTATAGTGTGCGTGTATTCAGGGCCTATCTGTTGTTGTTAAATTATGCAATGAGACGTGGATTGGAAAATCCGTGGTAAAACACTGTCAAAACAGTTTTGAATATTTTATGTATGGTTTCTATTTTTCACCACCCCTTTTTCCTTCTTTCTAGCGGAACTGAGGAAACGCCGTAGAGCCGTTCATTTTTGTTATTTCGTGAGGGGCGACAACACGTGCTTGAAAACGATGGCGTAGATGGTGATGGGCTTATAGAAACGAACGAAAAAAAACTACTTAGGGTGAATGCTTAATGGGGAGAAATGTACCGCGTCGCTGCGCCGAATTTACTACCACTACTTTTCGTTCTCACTGCATTCCCGTTAACCTTCCCCTTATATGTTGTATGCAAGGTACACCAAAACTTTTCTTACTACACATAATATACACGCACTTGTAGAACTACATGAGTGTATAATGTTGACAGTCAATGACTGTTCGCCATGTAATAATAAATTAAATTGGTTATCTAAAACTAGGCCTTGCATTTGATAGGATTAACTAAAAAGCTTATCACAGTTGTTGAATGTTGGGGTGTTTAATCTGAAACAGTAAGTTTTACGCGCGGAACAGAATCGTTTGACAAGATATTATCATAGTTACGTATAGTAAAACGTTTAGAGATTTCATATAGGGTGAACAGAATGTGTCTTCGACTCAAGTTGTGTTTGTTTATTTTACACCAGAGTCGGTTATAAAACAATCAACTGTATACCTCTTGGGGCGAATTCGGTAGTTCAGGTAGATTAAAGTGCGTTGGAGACTGATCAAATTCCGAGTTTCTGAACTTTAGATTATCCAAGTTTTAATTGTTATGAGCGAAAAGTCATGTTTCATACTACACAAATCACAATAATCAATTACCATAATGTCTTCCTTAACCTAAGCCCAACCGCTACTAAGTTTCTCGCACGTTAACTTGTATGATAAAAGCAAATGGTATAAACTTAATTTGTCTAAAATTGAAACTACGTAAAGTTTATGAGAAGTTATAACGATGTGTTACTTATCTTATTTAGATAAATTTCATTTTCCATACAACAACTATTAGTTGAAAAACCACACGGGGTCTATTAAATAAGTTTTAGACTTATTTTTAATTAATTATTAAGTCATCAAATGATAAATATTTTATGTCTTACATTTACATGCATTCTGAGTTATATGGGCTAATGTTACTTAACAATAACTAACATAATAACAACAATAAAATGATTTAGACAAAATTATTTATTTTGGGAACGAATATTTTATTACCTAAACGATTAATCTATATATTAATGAAAATTAATTATTGGGTTAATGATGTAAAATCTCTAGAAATTTAATATTAAGAAAATTTGTAAGAAATTTTTTTCAACTTTAATATTTTCTTTTGTTAAACATCTTTAATATAAAT